AACAAACTAGCCACAGCCACTGAGTGAGCCAAAAAATGCCCCTCACATTGGTGTTCTTGGAGGCGGGTTCCATGTGGGCCGGTTGCCAAAAAATCGTAATAATTACACATTTATAAAACTGTGTTTTTTTCATTGTGGACATTAATATGGGATGGGAGTAGCATTCAATTGAAAATATTATTTCATGGCAAATTACACTATTGTCCTTGAGTTACTCCTTGCTCTCCTATTCCTTTTATTTAAACAAAAGGTTCGATTACCATCAATCCGAATGGACCCACATGGAACCCGCCCCCTAGGAACCACATGTGATGAGGCATTTCAGAGCTGACTCAACGGCTAAGGCTAGCAGAAGGGTTCAAGCCCGTCTCCCACAAGATTCTAACTTGAACCTACTGTATATTTGAGCAAGTCGCTCCGCCCCTTTGCCAAATGAGCTACACGCAGACTCTTCTATTTCTTTTATTGGTTGAATATGATTTTCACACAGAGGTGTTCGCATCATATTAAGCAACTCGACTTGCCAAAATGTGTGTCGCAAGCTCAACCCTTCAAAACGAAATATTTTGAGCACCCACAAATTTCAATGAAGGGATTAGCAGAATAAATAATAGATCTTATGGGCTGTTTACCAATATAGCGTTAACCGAGTAAGAGTGCTGTATGGTTAAGCACTAATCACTGACAACTAATATAGTAGCATTCAACTTAATATATGATCTCACAACAAACCACACTACGTTCAGGTACACTCCTTACTTTCCTATTCCTTCTGTTTGTTGAATACGGTTTTCCCATAGAGGTGTTTACGTCATATTATTAGATTCGATGTGCCAGAATGGGGGAAATTGACCAAAATAACCAATCTCCCCAACCAACTTCACTTCATTGCCACTTTTTTAATTGAATTCCCATATTAGCCGGAGTGTACACAAATGTCTTGCACATTTGCGTAAACTCGATTTTCAGATTAAAGAAAAAAAAAGATTTTTATGCATAGACTCAGTTTTTTGCGTAAGAATTCAAATTTTGCATAAAGAATCCTTAAGCATATGCGTAAGGTTTTTTTTCTTCTTCCAGAAATCAGTCTTTACACATTTGCATAAAGCATCTGCTTAAAGACCAACTATTTTGGGAAGAGACTCTGAAAAGTGGGTTAAAGTGAATTTGGTTAATGGGATTGGCTATTTCAGTCAATTTCCCCCAGAATGGGTTTGTGACGTAAGCTCAACCGTTAAAAATGAAATGAGTACTCACTTCTTTCAATGAAGGGACTATCAGAATAGACAGTGGAGCGGATGCTGAAGATGCAGAGTTTCTGGCACTCTCTTCTTCATCACTACTTGCTTGACGAGGTTTTGGAAATGCTTTTATTGCATCATAGTAGTCACTTGAATGTCTGAAGTTGGGATTAAGAAGTTTAGAAATAAAATAAGATATCAATGGCCCAACAAATAAAAGAGAATTGAATTCATTTTAATGCTTACCTAGAAGAATCCGAGGTATTTATTGATTTCTCTGCTCTTCGACTTTCTTGGACACCTTTGTTGAACTTACTTAAAGCAGACTTATCTTTGGCATGTGCTTTCTTCATTCCTCCTTGAATTGCAGCCTTTGCCTGAAAGCATACAAGTGAATAAAAACCTGAAACGGTATCATAAATGTTGACACATTGGCTAGAATTGGACCATTTCTCCCGTATATATGTTGGAACCTCCTGTATCTCCTCAAGGGCTCTTTTGAAGAGCGGTCTGGGGGTTCCACATATTCTCACAATAAAATAACCGTAAGATGCCACAAAAAAATCCAGAATTTAACCGACAACATACTTTCGATATAAAAAGAGGAAAGAAAAGAGATTCCCACATTGACTTTGGTGGTCAAGATGACTTCTGGATTTATTTCTTGGTGTTAAGTTTCATATTGATTAGTTGACAACATTTTGGTTATTCAAAAAAATATTGGCAATCAATGGATTGAAAGATAACCCTTATGAGCCAGATGATTCATATTTGAAGATTTTGCTATAAAAATTGAAAAATAGACAAACCTCTGCCAGGTTTAATGCACTATCCTCAGGTGAAGCAGTTGATGTTTTCTCTTGAATTCCCAGCCGTGACTTTGGAGTCCGAGGAGAATCTAAATCATCATGTTGGCCACGGTAGACAAAAGTGCCACTAATGGAAGCATCTTCCATAGAGGTAAAAGTGCTGCTTGGAGACCGCACAACAACAGTTCCTGTGCCGTCCATAGACGTATCTTCCTGTGGAAAACACTTGAAACTTCAGAAAGCGAAATAGGAAAAGGAAGTCATGCGATAATGTAGATGGGAACATGAAAAGATGTTAAGTTATGAGGTTCATATTATTTTGGGGGGATACTATAATAGGTGAAAGCCTGTGCACAAATTATGAATTGCAAAGTTTCTAACAAAAAAATGTGCGTTAAACCCAGGCTGGCAGCAAGTGAGGTTGCTTCTGTTGCTTGTTTGTCAAAATTAAAGCAAGTAATCAGGTACCGGATCGCAAAATATAGGTGAACTCAATAAATTCTATTGATTATTTTGCCACAAGACACAACTAAGGGGTTGTTTGGTTTTTTCCATAAAGTCATGTAATGGATAAAGTTGTTTGTTTGGATTAACATATCTGTATAGATTGGGAAAGTTTTTGTATGGGAGGGTTTTTTCATAGATGAAAGGAGCATGTTTCTTCATTGGGAGGGATAGGTTTAGAAAAAACTTGGCTTTCTGCATAAAGCGCTCTCCTAAAAGCTTACTGAATAAGCCACTTTCTATATCATTAAGCCACTATCAAGCAGTCATCTATAGCTGACCGAATAAGCTGTGGGTCTCATTAAGCTCGTTAAGCTTCTAGCAAACAAGCCCTAAGCTGTATTTATCAATGCAGGCAAGTATCTATATTCAGAATAATATATTCGATATGTACAACAGGGAACAGGGGGAAAGCTGTACAGGATGGGGCAGGAAAGAGAGAGAGGGAGGGAGATTCTCACTTCGCCCCTGTAATAATCTTGTTTTTTGTCTTGGTCAGACTCTCTAGCATCTCTTTGGATGGAAACTTCTGATGAATTATACGATGTGCTCCCAGGGGCAAATGAGCGCTTGGTACCAGTTTCTCCAGTTCTCTTTTGGGTGGCTTGATTCGAAAGAACATCTGTTTTCCTGTCTCTAATTTGAGGTGGTCTTACAGCACTTCTAACAGTCCCCGTACTCCCAGACCCACCTATGCTGAAATCCCATCCAGCATTCCTCAAAGTTTTACCCTGGCTGCTGTAATTAAATTACTGGTTAGCCAACATGTTAGTAACACAAGGATCAATAACAAATTCACATTCTGGTTGTCACGTTCCACCTGATTTTAACAGTTTCTTCAACTCTTGATTCCCTGACCACCTTTACGGTATTAGACCCGTCCCCAAAAGCTTGAGTCCCGTTTGTAGGTGAATCCCCATCTTCCTTAATTTGGAACCTTGGTCGTTCTCTATCAAGATGGAAGGATATTGTCAATGTGAAAGGTAGAGGAAAGGACGAAGTATAGGCACTTCAAATATTAAGATTTTCTTATGGAAGGAAAACAATAAACCGAAAGTGAAAGAATGAAAATGATGTAAGAAATACACCGTATGTATTTAAGTAACCACCAGATTTTGTATACATAAACAACGGGCTAATGGCACTACAGAAAAGCACCTGATTCTCTCCAGAAGTCTTGGATTCTTCCTAGCATTCCTAATAAACCGGTGTTTCAGAAGTTCCTTTGCACTTGGTCTCTGAAGTATAGAATCAACAAACAGCATATGCAGTATATTAGTATTCATCTAACTTCCCACAACCACACATGCACACACGCATGCACAAAAAAAAGAGTGCACAGGCGCACGAGAGGGAGTTAAAGACATACTTCAGCAGGCACCTTCTTTAAGCACAATGAAACAAATTCTTTCATAGGGCGAGAAAAATGTTCATCTAGCTGCAAGAGAACCATTAAGATATGTTAGAACCCTTAATCCACGCTAATTTTAACTCCGTTAAACAAAATGAATACCCTAGTTTTAACCACATGAATATGTAGATACGGAATTAAAGGGCCAGACTCAGGAAATTGCTTAAATACAAGATTGCATAGAATCCCCTCAACTGGAATATAATGTAAAGTATATGAGAAGTATGCATCTGTTTGCACAAAAAATGAACAAAACTTAAGGCCAACAACAATAATACCATGCAATGCAATGGTAAATAAAGGAATTAAAGGATTTAAAGAAAAACTCAGGACCTGGGGTGGATTTTCTCTAGGTATGATGAAAAGAACTCGCATTGGGTGAAGATCGGCAAGCGGAGGCTCCCCTTTGGCCATTTCAATTGCAGTTATTCCTAAAGACCAAATATCTGCCTGCATCAAGCAAAATCAAGCGGCATCATAATGAGTTTGCAGAATAAATTAGCAACATGAGAAGTAAACTGAGTGGGGGTGCTTTTATCTTCTTTACCCCACACATAAGATGGGAATTGTGCCTGTGTGTACATAGGGAAGAGGGTAAGATGGAGATTGGAACCTTCTCATTATATCCCTCTGAATTCTGAATCACCTCCGGTGCCATCCAAAATGGTGTTCCTACAAAGGTCTGTCACCAGCGATAATATCAGTGGCTGGCAATTAGCCAATTCTTAACCTTAAAGAATCATCAAAAGTTCAGAAGGAAAGAAATGCATATCAAACACACAGTTTATGACCTACTATATAACACAAGGTGGTGTAAGATGTGCCTCAGCAGGCAGTCAGCGAAAACTTTCACATTTGAATCTATGTAGCAAGGTTGATAGAAATAATACACACAGAGACACATGGAGGAATATCATGAATTGACCACAAAGATAAGCAAAAAAGGCATGAACGAACTGTGGTTAGTTCTATTTCAATGACGAACTAAATCATGCCCGTATTAAGTATAAAAGGAAAAGGGAAAAGAACGACATTGTGTTGGCATAAGAACCCTATAATACCTTTCTTCTAGAAATTGTTCGGGTTAGTTGTGCAGACACACCAAAGTCTGCAACCTGTAAGAAAGTCGAAATATAAGCTTGAACGTCAGCAACTGCAAAAGACAAGTCCATATACAATATATGTGACTTAAGTTATAGCAATCACAGTTGATACAACTGAACATAAACAACGTACCTTAACATCACCGTTGGCAGTCAACAAAATGTTTGCAGCTGTCAAAATGTGAGACAAGTACTGTCATTACACCAGCACATTTAAAAGAAGGTAAAGTTTCTTCATTAAAAAGTAGATCTTTTTAGAAAATTCTTCTACAATTGTTCCTGATAGAAGAAAATATGGCAACTAATGTTTCTAGTTCAATCCTATTTTAACATAACAAAAATATTATTGGCAACTATATCCGTGTGCCACTAAACCGTATCAGGCCTTCAACCATACATGGCAATCAGGGTACAGACTCACACTAAGTTTTAGACAAGGGTAGCTAATGCATATTTGAACACCAGCATACTCATGCTTTGCAAACAATAAATGTTTCATTAAAAGAAAGGCCTCAACTCTTAAGCATGTAATTGTCAATGAGACATGGGGAGAGGGGGCGAGAGAACCTTTAATATCTCTGTGGATTTTCCCTTCGTTATGAAGATATTCTATTGCATGCAGCAAGTCACGTAAAATGCAAGCGATGGACATTTCATCCAATGGTTGATTTGGTTGAATCTGCAGAATGAAACTTATCATCAGCACCGAAAACAAAGTTTGAATGGCCATTTTTGCCCGACTTGCACTGATTTATCACATGAAAGGACATATGCAGGAACTAGAGGGTTCAATAATTGTTCTTTCAAACAAGAGACGGAAATATGTATTTTTAACTCTCATTTTCACAGAATTAAATACAATGCAGAATATATTTGTGAACTACATCATCTAGAAGTTGGTAAAAATAACCTACTAGATCAGCAACAGATCCACCAGCCATGTATTCCATTATTATCCAGAGTTTGGTTTGGTGAAGGTATGATCCATAGTATTCTGTAATATATGGAGATCGACATTGTTGCAGAACGGCAATTTCCTGAAAGATATATTAGTGAAAAACTGATCAATATATACGACAAAACGAATTCAATAGACAAGTGCTGCACTTTGTAAAGACATAGATACCTTTTGAATGTCTTCAATCTCATCCTCTCTGCAGAAAATAGAGAGCAAAGCATTACTTCAGCATAAGCATAAGAAATAGAAATTCAACATTGTAACCAACAAGCTGAAACACATGTCATGAGCTCCTTATAATTTACTGGTTGAAATATTAATCATTAGCTGAGACCACCAACCAATAAAAATCAAATCCGCATCAAAATTAAGAAAGTTATCAAGTTCTAGCCCCAGGGACTAGAAAAGCATACAACAAAAATATATAGTTCCAAAAGATTGAATTAACCAACTTGAGGAGATTGACTGTGCAAGGATAATGATAAACAGTAATCTCCAGAATTGAACTTTTTATTTTTATCAGGCTCTAGTTGTGACCAAGCAAAAAAAGAGAAAGTGGCAATGTTCTTCTTCTTTTGTAACAAAGGATACAGATTCACGAATGGCATAGACAGATTAGACCAGAAGTATGCCAAATCATATCAAGCACTGGAAGAGGAAAATAGGCCAGTTATCTTATGCCATCTCATTCTTGATATGAAGTTAGCAAGAAATAGCTGTCTCTTCTTTTGCAGTCCCTCGGATGTTGATTTGACGAAAGCACACCACTGTAGGATGACAGACCCACACCCCATACACTCTCAAACGAGCTTGACAAAGACCACATGCATCATGGTAATGTGGGATGGGACTCATTGGTGCTTGAGCTTGTTGCACCCACACCTATCTAGAGAGAGATTTCGGCAGTCCCTCAAGACTATAGACATTGAATGACAGAGAACCAATGCCCAGATAACAGCTTTAAGTTGCCAAGGAATCCTGGCTTTTATGACAAACTCATCCAGGTAAAGCAAAAAGCCTATCTATCACATTTGAAAATAATCAAATGCAACCTGCATACCTATTCTCCAAGTATGGGCCCTGGCTAATTGATAAATCAGCTTGGCTATTCCATATGCATTCAGAAACCTCCAAATGCTCCCTCCTCAGTACAATTCACTTTTGTAGGCATCCAAAAACCTCTGTTCAACATGAACTAACAATCTCAAACAACATCCCCCTTTATGTCCTCCCTTGAGGCCACCTCTCCTCCCCCCCCCCCCAAAAAAAAAAAAAAAAAAAAAAATACCTAACCTCATAACTTTATAAAGCTTCATGTGAACTCCGCGTCCCTGACACTGCCTCTCAACCTAATTTAAGTAATACGATTGCACAATTTATGCATGTGAATGACCAGAGGTCCACTCTACACAGCTACTAATACTAACAGATGATGTTGACAATCCAGAATAACACGCACTAAATACATTTAGATGGATTATCAATATAGAAAAAGTTCAAGAACAAACACTCACGATTCTTCCAAATCGATGACTTTAATAGCAACCTCTTTGTTATTTTCCTTATCAAACCTGCAAATCAAGAAAGATTTGCAATATTAGCTTACACGTGCAATATTTATGCATATAAAAATCCACATAAATTTACGAGAAACTAAAAAATCAGGGTTGAACCCCTGGAAGCCTCAAAAGAACATTCCATCCTGCAAGAATTGCAACATTTATTTTTCTCAAAAGTTTCAACCTTAGATTACATGCTTCCCCTCTTGTGATCATTAAAAGTTTCTTTAATTTGACTGATAAGAGTTCATGTAATGTATTTTGAACATTTTAGCTACTGGGAATTACTCGCACAAGTCAGATGCTGTCATCTTTGTGGGATGGGGGCATACCAAAGCAACAGATGCCTGCAATATAAATATTTTTGTGGCCTTATCTGGTCCACATGACCCCCCTCCCCCCCCAAGTGATCTCAAAGAAGCTCAAGATGTGGTATAACATGTCATGGTGCCATAAAGGCAAAAACCATGCTAATCTTTTAGGCACTTCAACCGAATGTTCTACAGATGAAAATTAAATAAACCAAAGCCAGAGAAAAGAATGGCAGTTGTAAATTTCAATATAAAGGATGCTTCGTCATGGTTCAGGTTTCATTTCATATGGCATTACTACTATTAGCATATTCCTCATTAATAGAAGAAGCAACTACAAAGATGATAGTGTGAAAATATATAAATCCATTTATAGCATTGAGAAGAGATTCCAATCTCAAAATAGTCATCTATGAAGAAATGTCAACATAGAACATACAAACTGTGTGAATACTGCTCTGGAAATAAGAAGAGCTTTACCTTTTTAGGTATACTTAAGTATCAGAATGCAGATACCCCCCCCCCCAGGTTAAGATGTTTATATTTGCTTTTATAGTATTATATACTATTCTAGACATGAGAATATGTTCTTTTTTCTGCTGCTAAGATAAGTCACTGTTGTATGAAGACGCACCATGTGGTTTGAAATAAGAGTATGAGAGGATGTCTAGTTATTCATATAACAAAAGAACACCATACAAATATGGGGATTAACTAACTTGAGGAAATGCACCAAGAGGCGAACCTGGAACAATATCCAGTTATTGATATCTCAAAAAATACAAACATTTATGGTGCTAAGCCTTGACACGTTGACTTGCTAAGGATACTAGAGCAACCAAACCAAGAAAGCTGATGCACCTCAAGGTGCTACAGAAGAACTGAGGGACCTTCTCGACAAAAGATAGGTGATTGAGAACACAGTTAGCTATTTATAATGAGGAATCATCGCTCCAGGATGCCAATGTGGCTTAAGTAAGTGTTAGGATCGCAAATACCTAAGATGGTTCCAATACTGAGCCAAATTACCCAAAACCATGGACGGAGCCAGCACTGGCCCAGTGTCAGCACCAGTCCACCCTGGAGTTTTTAATTTCAAAATTTTTATATGGTCCAGCATCTAGTAACTATTGCTTACATTCAAAAGACCACTGTCAACCTCTTAGACTCTCACAGGCCCAAAAGTAAAAGCCTAGCACACAAGTGTCTCACACTCTCATGTATTCACACGTCTCTCTCTCATATATTGATTATTGAAATCCTCACTCATCCATTTCACGTTAGCAACCCTACATTTGCTCTTAATTCTTAGGTTGTCACCAACTTTTCATTTGTTCTGTGGTGTTCTCGAGGAGTTCTAAGTTAATAGGATTTATATTTCTTTTGTATAAATTTAGTTTTGGTGGATGGATTTTGATTATCAGTTTTGATATTTGTATCTAGTTGTGATCCATTTGAAAAATAACTTTTGTTTTAGTTTTTTCCCTTGATTTAGTGTATTACATTCGAGTAAAATGAAGTTTTGTGGTAGGATTGTTTTTCACTTTGGTTTAATGATTATAATTAGAGTGCCTTTAATCAATGCCTCTTCTAAGTGTGTTTGTAAAAAATATGTAGAGTCCATTTGATATTTGAGAGTAGTTATCGATTGTTCAACTTCCAATAGAGAACAGCCTACCTCCCTCTCTCTATGTATTAGTATTGTTTAGAAATGTGCCCTTTTTGTATTGAAAAACAATTCAATTTCATGTGCACATTTTCATTTGGAGTTGTAAGTTCAGTTTTCTCATGAGATATAAGTTGGTAGATAAAACCTTAACAAATTTCTCATTATTTTTTGTCGGCATTGAGGACCACCCTTAACATAAATACTGGCTCCGCCCTTGCCCAAAACCTCTACTTGTATAATCGAGATTTGTTCAAAGTCATGAAGTCACCATTGGCATTCATTATTAACTTATCAACTGTTTGTAGGCAGGGATAGCCATATGATGGGAGCATGAAATATACAATTAAAAGCAGTTATAACTAGCTATACAAAAACCACGGGACCAATCCTAGTTACGATGTATGTATACATAACCTTACAGCAGTATAGAAGAATTAAGCGTTATTTTGCTTAAAAAGGTGATAATTCAAAACCGAAATGATTTTCATCACCTAAATGGGTGTATAATGTCCTCAAGTGCCTGCAACTATAAAAAAAATTTGGTAGAAATATTGAGCTATTCCAAAAGGATTTTCTCAATTTCTGATGGATCGAACAGTGAAAACATCGATTAGCCACACCCAGGATTAAGTTGGATCCTATGATGAAAACAATAGATGTTTATGAAAGGAACCTCAATCCCCTCAGCAGAGCAAGAAATTTTTAAAAAATTCTCCCAACCTCAATGCATTGAGGTGCTAAGAAAAGTTTTCCCAATATAAAAGTATTCCAAGGCTGCTCAGCATTGCTTATATGTCTATGCATTAAATAACAAAATTTTCCAAATTATCATCTCTTGAGTCGTCTTCTGAAAACTCTGTTACTTCTTTTACTTCAAAATTAGTAGTATCTTTGAACTAGTGGCCAGTAATTACTGAAAGCAGATCAACTTTACAAAGACAGATACCAATAGTGAGAATGGAAGCTTATAGATCAAAACTCGTAGAGTCTGAGGATAGAACCAGATAGTTATTTCAGGAGAGACATTAATGTGTTTGGAAATTTGTAAGGCATGTAACTACATTTCTGAATGTACAAGAAACAAGTACAAAAGAAAAATGGGCTGACATCTTAGGAACAACTATTTGTAAATTTAAGAGAATAAGTAAATGAAGGCTAAAATAATCAATACTTTCTGTTATACTGTTTAGTAAAATAATATGATGCCAAATAATTAGTTTTGTTCATCAGAAAGGTCCCAAATGGCCTGGCTGTAGCTCCTCCAGCCATGTACATGGAAACAACTAACTAGGTATGCAAGATAAAGTTCCTAAACCATCCTTAGATATTTTTGAAGGATATGGAAGGAAGAATACAAACTTTCAAATCAGTATCAGCTGGTGAGTCCAAAATACTTGTAACAGAATGCTAAATATTGATTTGATCCAAGACCCTACTTCCGAGTGGAATTTTCTGGGTGCGTTTGGTTTTTTATCACGAAACCAATGCGAGAAGAACCTGGAGCCGGAGGTTACTAAAGTCTATTGTTATTAGCACTTCATGAGTGTTAGTATTAGTACTAAATATTAATACAGTTAATAGTACTAGGAAGGTATCTTGAATGTTGATTCTATTAGAAACGTTTCCTAATTGTCATAGGAGAAGATATCTTGATTGTTGATCATTATTAGGGAAAATGTGGGATACTTATCCAGCAATTATGTAGCAACAGCCAAATGTACCACCAAAATTACCATAGTTACTTTATGTAGAGAAATGCATAAAAATATGTGTGTTAAATAGTTAACATATATTCAAAAAAGGAAGAAAAAAACTGAATTTGTGCCTGTGGTTGTGATAGATCTACTCATAGTTATTGCATGGGAACTATATCCTAATACTTTTAATTTATTTTATTGATCACTAGTTTGCTGCATTAGTCTTTGGGTCTGCTCTAGAAGGCTATAATCTTTATATAGAGTCAATTGCAGTAAATAACATTGATTTTCATTGACTTTTTTAGTTTCTTTTCCTTCTTCATGTCTTCCTATGTCGTCTTGTTGGCAAGTCATAAATAGAAGCCCAACATAGCGAATTGTGACCGACTGTGGTTGTTCATTAACCCTAAGAGCACAACGGTGATGATTTATGTCTGGTGGTCTTTTGTTCTCTACTTGTTGACAAGTCAAATACTGCAGTCCAACATAAAAAAATATATATTTTCAAATGTAGTACAAGTGTGCATTTAAATATGCCAAAGGATTTTGAGTGAGTTGAGGCAACAATTGATGATTGGGTATAATATTTGGTTTGTGTGGAATATGTCAAGGAGTTGACCTCAGAGAGGAGCATGTTGAAGAGAAATGCACGACAAAGATTAAAAGAGAAAGGATTTATGAGAACAACCGAAGGAATTAGGCTTCAAGGATTTCACACCAAAGAGACATCAGGGTCTCTTGAATATCACACCCAATATAACCTAAGGTCTCAGCTATTGCGATTGTTTAACGGAAACAAAAGGAAATATCTCAATTTTTAATCTCAGTATTCAATTATTCAATTCAATCGGGATTACAAGTCCATTTATAACAAAATGAAAGCTTGATATTACTAAATAACCTAAATTTGGAAGTAAAGGCAGCAGTAAGATTACATTGGTTTCATCCAACTAGATACTAGATTAAATGCCATAACATCCTGGTAAAATTACCTTTTGCCCTAATCTTATCTGTCAAGGATGAGATTCATGTTACTATGTCAGGGAACCAACGGATGTCCATCTCCTTAAATGTTTTATATTCAGTTTCACCACACTCTCAATTCTTTTGGTTTCATTTTTTCCTCTTTACCTAAGGCAGAAGTTTAGAACAAGAGGCTTCTTGCTATTGTTTCTGTTGCATCAAGTGTGTAGATCTGGTTTGTCACTTAGCGACTTACTATTTTGCAGGAGGTGTTGAAACCGTTGTCTTGGAAGCAAAGCCACATCCATTGTGTGCTTAGCACCCTTCACATTGATCAAGACTGGAGCCTTCAAACATGCTCTTTGAAACCAACTTCATAGTAGGGTCATAATGTGCAACATGCAGGCATACCGACATTTAATAATTTGTGAAGGGTGGCAATTTTATTTTATTTTTGAATATAGAAACACTAACCCTAAAGCTATAAAAGAGAAGTCTGTGGTGATTAGTGATAGTCCTCCTGGTTTTATCCTTGATCATGCTTCTAGGTCATTGGAACCAAATTCTTTTAAAATGATGCATGACATGTTTGATCCAAGAAGTTGTGGAAAGCCTACTTGTTATTAGGAGTTTGAGAATATTAATATTAGTACTAGTATTCATTATAAGAAAATATTTAGAATATTTATTTACGGAGAGTATATGTCCAATGTCTTGAGAAAATATCTTTTATTTATCAATGAACTTACCAGGTAAGTATTTGAGACATTTATTTTATAAAATTGTATCCAAATTGTCATAGGAGAAGATTTCTTGATTGTGTATAGGATGCTGGCTTGCATAAGAAGTTATTACCTTCATTTTATATATGGTGGTAATTTTATTACCTTCATTTTTGTGCCTTTGTGCCTTTTGTCTTCCTGTCTCTCTTCTCTTTTAACCCCTATCCCCGCCATTAGAAACTTTCCACAACAGAAACATTACTATTAACTATGAAATTCCCAAAAGAGAAAGTGATGCACACAAACGAAGGAAGTAAAATAACTTCTACAGCCATTTTGCTCCACATTAATGGGGGCCAATAAGGAGAATTTGGAAGCAGACAAGGAAGGTAATATACGTAATGAACGTCAACTCAAAACTAATTTACGATAAGCTGCAGCAACAAAAGGCCACAGAGAAAACAGGAAAAGAGCCAAGCATGTTGAAATTTAAAAGAAAGGTATAGAAGACATACTTCCCTCCAGAAACCACGGGTTATTTTATTCGTTCCCTAGCTCTAGCTCATGATACATTTACTCCTTTCATTAGAATGTGTTCGTTCTCCAGCCAGAAACTCTAAGTCTTTCATGAGTGCAAACTTATTAAGTTCAGCATCAGGATTACCAGTCATGGTGCTTACACCGCTCCTTATCTATCTATAAGTCTTAATTTTTTTCCATGGACTTGCACAGCCTTAGCCATTCGTCTATTATATATAGTTCTTTCCCCTTGACTTGCATGTACTTTAACCTAAAAGTTTGAGATATTAACCACTAGATCCTATTATCAAGCCCATGAAAACAAGTAATTAACCTAATTATAATCATCATGGATGTCTACATTTGGCACCTAATCTTGTATATGCAAAACGCCACTATAGCAGATCATTTGGCATGGTCCATACACTGTTCTCAATTTCAAAATTCAATCAGCTATTGTTTCATACAATGGTTTTATACAGGTAAAATAGACATAAGAAATCCTGAACTAGTTGGGGCAAGCGAACTGTGTTAAACAACAGATGAGAGTTAACCCTCCGATATTAACTTCAAACATATAATAGAAAACAGAATTAAGTAGTTGCAGATTGAATTTCCAGTTAAAAGTTACCCCTTATATACATCCCCAAAAGATCCTCTTCCAATTAGTTCTAAGTCGCTAAATCGGGATCCCGCTGCCTCCATAATAGCTGCTGCATCTGCCATCTCCACTGAAAAGAGTAAATCCCCTTCCTTCCTTCCTTCCTCCTTCAAACAATCATATGCATAACAACGACATGGTATCCAGAATTCCTGAATTCCAGCTTGGACTTAACAATGCTTACGCGTTAAGTGTCGATTCATTATTGCTTGAAATCTGAAACACGCATTGAAAACAAAAAAACAAAAAAGATCGCCGTAACGATCATCAATAACTCCGTTCCCACAATACACAAGACACCTACTACCGAGTAAAAATCGAACAGTAAGCTTTACGAAATGAAATCGCAATGTAGAAAATGATTAGGTAAATTGATTGATATGATTGAAGAAGACGAAAATTGAAAGGGAAAGAGTACCTGATGATGATGAAAGCAGAATTAGGGGTTGAGTAGAACCAAAAATTAGGGTTTGTGAAAATGGAATTAAACAGTGAGATGGTAAGGGTTGAAAGGGGATCAAGATTCAAGAAAGAAAACAAACGAAAAAAAGTTGTCCGATTCCTGTAAATATTTGGCAGAATTTATGTAAAAAAGCCGTTATTTAGGGTACACGAACGAAGGATGGTAAAACACACTCTCCAACCTTTCAACTCCTTTTTCTTCTTCTTTTATCTGGCAAGAGGGGTTAACCAGGCTTATTGGTCTATCTCTTTTATTTGTATAGTTTATTTGGGTTATTTATATACGGCTTATTTGCATTGAACATGACTTAATCGTACAGATTGAAATTGTGTGTTATCCTCGTTCAGCCACAAAAATGACACTTTTACCCCTTATTTAAAGCACCGTCTCCTTTCCATATGATACACCCCCATCTTCGGTCTCTTTATGATTTTTTGTTTTGATGTTCAAATAATTAATATTGGGGGTATATCGGCCATTTATGTTATTCAGACTGTTTGGTTCAGATAAAAAAAATTAAACAACAACACTCATTTATCTATACAGACAAATTTATCCATACAGAACTTAATAAAAAATTTAGTAAACAGCATCTTGTTTTCTGTCCGGTTTTAGATTTCAGACCATTCAGGTTTTGCATACCCCTAGTCTGTATAGATATGTTAAAAAAATTGGCAAGGTTTTATTTTTATATATGAAGAAGCATGTTTTAAATTAAGAGGGACGTGTTTAGGGGGAAAAATTGGTTTTCTACATAAAGTCCGCTCCTGTAAACTTATTGAATAACTAATATCATTAAATTACTATTAAGCAGTCATCTATAGTTGAATGAATAAGTTACGAGTCTCATTAAGCCCGTTAAATTGTTAACAAACAGACCCTATGTTTTTAGTGTATATGATTTGTTGATGTTTCCGTTCTTGCAATTTACAATTCAATATTGTTTTCGTTCATGTGATTTGTGATGTTCAAACCCATTTGTTTGACTTGTTACGTAATTTATCATATATATCTATTTAAGACATACATCTTATATAAACTATGTTTAAAATATCTATATTTGTTTATTTTTAAAACAATCTATCCTCTTTCCTCTCTTTGGTGAATCTTATTCGGCGAACCTTATGTGAACACAAGATACACATTATGATATCTACAAACGATATTCACTGTGATACCCATATATACATACTCGATGCACAATGTGGTACCCTTTGTAAAACAATGAAAATAACGAAAATACACACTCTGATACATTTCATAAAACAAAATAAATATATTGTGATGCACGTGAAACATTGTCAATCTTATCACAATGATACACTTTGATTCACAAACGTCTTTAAAATACGATATATATTAGGTAATTGATATACTAAGTAGCTGATTTTAATTAAGTATTTCTTTATAAAAATGTAATTAAATATTTTGATTAGTTGTCAAAAATAGAATTATTATATCACCCTTTTATTTAAAAAATATTCATAAATATATCAAACGAGTGGTTCACATTGGATCTCACAGTTAACACAAACTAATCAGTTATCTCTTGAATTGACCCATACATATATAAAAGTTGTATATTGGGCCTGGGTTTATACACACTTATAAACAGGCTAATATTTTCCATAATAGTTGCTGGTTTAATGGGCTGGCCCATTTCTTTTCATTGGATAAACTTTTGACTTGACTTTGTTTTTTTAAATATAAATACCTGTAAAGTGTTTGGTTAGAGGTATTAATCAGTAGTTAATAGAACTGAAAATATATAATCATAAAAAACTATTTGCTTTTATATAATATAACTGGGCTCAGTTTTCCCAAATATACATTGTGTGAATAATTACTACAATTATACAAAGTAATTTCTCAATCCTGTTTCCAAAATAATTAATGTTAATCATGGGTATAATTGGAAAAAAATGGTAAAAAACTTCTTATTGAAACGTTACTTCAAGTAACGTCTACTTTTTTCCTCATCTGAATAGGGCTTTTAAAATAAACTTGAAAAAATAAGTTAGCTTATGTTGCTGAATGGTTTGGTGCAAAATGATTATGTGGTCATAATTATTAATAGGCTCTCATGATATATTACAAAATGAAATATAATTGTTTACAATGAAATTGGAGCGCTGAATGGTTAAGGGAGACACGTGATACAAAACCATTAAGATTGTTTTAAAACCATTAAGATTGTTTTAAAACCATTAAGAGACAAAAAAAAAATTTGCAAATAAGATTCATCTCTTAACGATTCGAATATTGCCTCTTAATTGAACTATTAAGAGGTAAACAAACAACCACGTAGTCTTAATCTATAACTCATTTTATAAGCGTGGAGCTCCCTTTACCTTTTGTTGTTCCACTTGTTTGGAGGAAAACATCAACCAATCATAACTTTAAACAAATGAATGATTCGTGTTTATGTTTCGTATTTGTTGTACTGTTAAAATTTAAGAATTTAAAATTTTCTACTGGAATATATTACGCGGTATTATATACTATTACAAATACTACTGATATATTTATACAATAACAGTAGCATTTAAATAAGCAGCTTAAATATGAAATATTATCGACAAGTAAAAATGTTGTAAATGATTATATAATTTGGGTCATTCATTATCAGTTTATCACATTAAGGGTCCGTTTACCATACACTTATCCAGTTAAGTGTTTTATGGCAAAATTCAATATTTTTCACTTACTTACCGGGTAAGATTTTAATCCACCAAAATAAAAACATTACCGTTTTTCTCAAAACAACATAAAACCGTATTACAACATCAACTGAGACAAGAAATAGATAAAACGAAACATTAAAATCGAGATATATCTCGCTGCATTGCACGAGTACCCTTCTAGTCTATACTATATTATAAAGCAATTGACAAAAACTCTTAAAAATCATTTTTTTTATGCGTAAAGTACTGTTTATTAATGCATATTACTTAAAACTCAAAATTGCAAGTAGATTGTGCGTAAGTACAACTTATTAAAGCTCTATAACTGAATTCGTGTAACTAACTGCAGATAAACATCTCATTTTAAATATAAAAAATCTAAAATATGACTAGGATAATCATTGAGTTAGGGGGTGTTTCGGACTGCTTATTTAAAACAACTTTATGTTTTTTTGTGAAAGTGTTTATTAACTTATGTGGTATCAAACCGGAGTTAAATAAAACATGGTTAAAATTGTAAACTGGTAATAAGCAGTTTTTCATAAGTCAGGAAGGATTAACTTATCAAAAACAGCTTATTACCAGTTTGACACCGATATAAGCAATTTTTTTTCTTATCCAAACATCAGAAAACAACTTATCACCGATGTCAGATGAAATAAGTTAAAAAACAGCTTTTATAAGCAATCCCAAACACCCCCTTATACTTATACTAAAAATTATATTATTAAACCAAAAATAAATTACTTCGTTACCAAACCTAAATTAAATTATAATAAAAATTTTGAATTAAAAAAACTACATAGAAGACGGGAATTTTTAAATAGTTAATTTGATACTATTAATATATTTTTTCCAAATTTTTATAAATAAAAACATTATCGTTTTCTCAAAATCACATAAAACCGTATTATATCGACAAAGACAAAAAATAAAAGAAAACATTATCTCGATATATTTTACTGTATTACGCAAGTATCTTTCTAATATATATATATATATATATAGTTTACATGAGACCATGATATTTTTATGAGACACGTGAGATCATATTTTTACACTTGAAACATCACCGCAAAAGATTACGAAGGTAAAAAAAAAGTTTGAACATTCACAACAAAAACATTGTTAATGTTATTTTCTCAATTTTTTACTGTAAAATTTCAAGTGTAAAAAAATAGTCTCACGGATCTCACAAAAACAATATGGTCTTATAAGATTCCAATTTTAGAGTCCCTCCCTTTGTATAATCAACTTAAGGTTGTTTGTTTACCTCTTAATAGTTTCATTAAGAGGCATCTTTTGAATCGTTGAGAGTTGAATCTTGTTTGACAAAAAAAGAGGTCTGTCTCTTAATGGTTCTAAAACCCTCTGAATTATTTTGTATCCTAAGCCTCCCTTAACCATTCAGAGCCCTAATTTCATTGTAAATTATTATAAACAATTATATTTCATTTTGTACTATATCATAAGAACCTCTTAATTATTCTAATCACTTAATCATTCTATACCAAATCATTTAAGTAATTATCAAACAACTCTTAGTTTTTTTTGTTTGTATTTTTATTTATTTATTTATTTTTAGAAGAAAACGATAATCTGATAGGTGTTGACAATTATAAATGGGAAAAGGAGGTTGGGAATTTTTAGGGCGAAACGTTTATTTGTAAAACAATAGAATGGGGCCCACAAAGATACGATAGCGGGGTCCATAACCGAGGCCTTGGGCGGTCAAGCCGGAAGAAATAAGATTTTGACCAACGCGCACACATCGTTCGTCTTCGTAAATCGCAACCGGTGATTCGTCTAACCATGGCGCGTGATTTAAAAGGCGCGTCGTTGAAAAAAGTGTACCCGCAATTTGTGCAAGTGCAACAGACTTTCTTTTATGCACCGCGCACGGTCGCGGCACGTGCGCATGTGATAACGTTATTCTCGGTTATTTTTTAAATCGTAATAAATTAAAGAGTAACCAAACGTTACTAATTAAACTGTAATCTCGTGAATACGTATCATGTAAGAGTTGTTACCTTAATGTTTATACGGGTAAGCAATAACCAATACGACAAAAAATCTTACTTGGTAAGAACGAAGACAATAACCGATAGTTTTACCCGGTAAGTGAGGGCGGCGACTCTTATCACAGTTAGCACTTACCGGGTAAATTGTTGCATACAATGTCATTTTGGTGGACTAAAATCTTACACGGTAAGTAAGCGATATTATTGAATTTTACTAGTAAACGCTTACCAAGTAAGTATTTAGGTGAAAAAAAAGTAATACTATTGATCCTTGTTTTTTTTTCACAAGGTAAGATTCTTTGTTTTTGTTATGTTTATCCGACGAGGTAATTGAACCAGTATAAGTTTACCAAGACAACTGTTTAATAAACCGTCACTACTCACTAAGTGTCTATATTTTTATTTTATTTTGTCCTAATATAAGTGTATATTTTTCAAAAGTAAGTTTTCACTTTTTTTCATTCTAAGATTGAGAAAGTTATTATATTATCGAGGATAAAATCGTCATTTAAGGGTCGTTTACTAAACCCTTATCTTGTTAAGCGGTTAGATGTTCAATTACTTTTACTGGTGAACATAACAAGGATCAATAATTTTACCGGATAAAAAGAAAAACAAGGATCAAAAGTCTTATCCGGTAAGTGATGATGATGACTCTTACCAGGTTATAAACGCTTACCATGAATCCATTTTGATGGTCAAACATATTACCTCATTAAGTAAATGAGAGTGTTGACTCATGCTGGTAAGCATTTACCCGATAAGCGTTTGGTAAACGACCTTAGTTGTTTAAAAAGATATTAATTACATATTCTTAAAACAATGTGTCATTTTCATTGCGAGCATTTATTTTGGAACTGGTGGAGCATTTTATTATATTATGTTTTTATAAGGGGTCGTTTGGTTCACGTAAAGGAATGAAAATGAAAATGAGAATAAATTTTCATCCCCACCTTCAGTTTAATAAAGGTAACCTTCACTGTATTTTTGTTGTGAAGGTTCGATTGTTTTTTACAAATGCTGTGAAGTTTCAAATGTAAAAAAGTGGTCTCACGAAAACAAGTTGGTCTCACGTGGACCCAACCCCCCCCCCTCTCTCTCTCTCTCTCTCTCTATATATATATATATATATATATATATATATATAAGGTTTATTTTGCAAACCACGTTATTTGTACAAACCGTCAAACCTCATTCAACCAATCATAAATTTTCATTTTGTTCATTTTTTTTTTCCAATTATGAGAGGTTGATTAATCATTTTTATTATGTAGGGTGTTAATCATATATGTTATCGTCTTCATCATATTAAATTTATAGAAATACATGAAACGATTTCATTAAAATATCATAAATATTATACGAAACAATTTCATAACCATAAATGAAATAGCTTCATAAAAAAAAAGTATTATATGAAAAAATTTCATAAGATTAAACAATTTCATGAAAAAACTTCATACGATTAAACAATGAAATCGACAGATGATGATGGTTTGCATGGTTTGTACACATATGAATGGTTTGCATGGTTTGTACAAATATGAGTGGTTTGCATTTGATCACTCATATCTCATTTTCTCTCTCTCTCTCTCTCTCTCTATATATATATATATATATATAATTTCATAGGCAATTATAAGATATGGCTTAATTTTTCCAAATATAATTTATCATAATCTATATTTTATTATTATAATTAAACAACCCTTTAATTATTTGATAGCAATGTGATGAATGATATCCATAATAATCTAATAAAACAATGCAATCCAAATCTAAAGATTCTACTTTGCCAAACCCATAGAGTCTCCTTAACAAACCTTATGTGAATTTTGGTCATGGATTGTGACCTTTTTAAGGTCACTTCTGCCCTATCCAAACAACCCCAAATCACCACCATTTTTAGACCTCACTTGCCACCCTTTTTCTTGTTGGGATTTGCATATTGCATAAAAGGGAAAACAAATTGGGCACATGGGCATAAAATATGAATCAAATTTACATTTTCTTTAAATGTTCTGCTGGTGATTTTAGTGGAATCATCGGTTCATTTTCATGTAACTGGGTTCACAAGAGAATCTGAGCTTGATAGTTATAGCTGTATCACAAACTATGAGATGTTGAGTGCATACTCGTATAAGTTAACTAGAACCCATGATTGTTGGATGGTACCATATAGCAAAGATCAAGGGGCTGCCCCCCTAGCAGTGGTCCCACCGATTGGTCGATGGGGGCCATCCTCGTAGAGTTTCAAACAACGATATGAAAACTTCTATGCATCCTATGAAGATAAGTGTTTGGGGAAAACGAGTTTCTGAATGTTCTAAGTGAAATTCAGAAGTCTTGTTTTCTGATCGTGAAGTGGTATTGACTCGAAGCTTTTGACTCTGAAGTGTTAAGGCTTCCAGCTTTAAGGAGCCATAGCTTATGATTCTAAAGAGTTAAGAGGCTACGAAAGCCTTCTGATTCATGTGCTGTTTGTAATCGTTGTTTTGGTAACCGTTGTACATTTAACCGCACGCTATTACTCCAACAACCATTTCCATTTTTGGGGATATTTTGTCAATTAAGGAACAAAACTACGATCCTTAAGTTCAAAAAGGTACCGATTGCTACCAAAATCGTTCTGAAAACATGAGATTATCTTCGAACTGCTTTCATGATATCCAAACAAATCAGGGTCAAAATATAACTTACGAAAATCAAACCCTTATGTAATCTCACGGCCTTATCCAAATTTTGCTCACCGTTTCTTTAAATTTTTCGAATTTCCTTCGTCACACGTAACTTTATCGACATGAATATTTATTTCGAAACCAATAAATTGAAAAGAATTGATAACTGAGTTGAATAACTTGGACCCTTTATTTCAATGGCAGTAAATGAGTTAAAAAAAGCATCTGTCATTTAAAGATGTTGATAAATTTTGGTGGGTTAATCAATGAATTTAACGAAAATAAATAAATGGATTATAGAAGGGTAGTTAAATTAAAGTTAAAGGTAAACCAAACCCTACATCCAAACAAACCTGTCAACTCTCACCGCCTTTCTTCTTCTTCACTGGTAAATCCATGGCTATTTCTGTTGTCCAGATGATATAAAAACCTAAAGAATCAAAGAACTCCAGATTTTCTTCTTGTTTTCCCTCTTGATTGATTGGATTTGGAGAGATCGAAGAGGTGGGTATGAACTCATGATCCACCACTGTTCTTACCAGTTGTGAATCTTGAAATCTGAGAGATTAAAGCTGCTAAAAATCCAGAAAAGTTACAGATTGGGAGCTCCTTTTTTGGGGGGTTTTTGAGTTTTAGTTTTTTAAAGAGAAAGAGAGAAAGATGGCGGGCTCAGGAACAACAGATAGAAACAAAGAAGCAGTTGGAATGATGGCTCTACATGAAGCTTTAAGAAGTGTCTGTATGAATTCAGACTGGACTTACTCTGTTTTCTGGACCATTCGTCCTCGCCCGTAATTTTTTTCTGTTTAATTATCTTTTGATTTATTTAACCCAGATTACGTTATTGATCTTTACTCAAATGGGTTTCTTTTTCCGCCATTTTTTCAGGCGAGTTAGAGGTGGTAATGGCTGCAAAGTTGGAGATGATATTGGTAGCTTGTGAGTTCATTCAGCCACTGTAATCTTGCTTCAATGATTTAAAAGAAAGGGGGATTTCGTGTGATATGTGATTATCTTTAGCGTGTAGTTTAGTTGGTAAAGGGATGGGAAGACCGGATGTTTGGTTTGTTTTCAATTAAGCTATTTTTATGGATTAATCTGTATCCATTAATCTGTCTATACAGGTTATAAAGATTTTTTTGTTTGGAAGGGTATTTTTATAAATGAAAGGAGGGAGTGTTTTTAACTAAGAATGACACTTTTTAAGCGACCATCAAACAAACATGTATAACAGACGAAACAAGCGTGAGTCCCATTAATTTCATTAAGTTGCTAACATACAGACCCTTTGCCCAAAATACATAACAGGTCATGGGTTCGCCTGCTAGCCTCAGCTGAATGAGCCAAAAAACGTCCCCTTAGTGCCTTTGGAGGCGGTTCCATGTGGGACCGGTTGGGTTACTGTTAATCACAACTTTTTTACAAAAAAACTGTGTGATTTGTGATAAAATCTTTGGGGATTTATTGCAGGATGTTGATGTGGGAAGATGGGTTTTGCAGAGGAAGAATGGTGGATTGCTTAGAAGACATGGATGCAAGTGAAGATCTTGTTAGAAGAGCATTCAGCAAAATGTCCATTCAGCTGTATAATTATGGAGAAGGGTGGGTACTTGGTAGGTGTTTATTTTAATTTTTTTTGGATTAATAAATCTCTAATTAAGTTCAAAGAATGATCAACAGTTTGAAAACAAGATCCTTAATTAGGGTTTTTTCTCTAATCATGGTTTGATTTTATTGCAGATTGATGGGGAAAGTTGCTTCTGATAAATGCCATAAATGGGTCTTCAAAGAACCTTCAGAATGTGAACAGAGTATCTCTAACTATTGGCAAAGTTCTTTTGATGCTGTATGCTTCACCTTCAAACACACACACACTTTCACCTTCAAACACACACACACTTCACTGTTCATCTTCAATAATTGGAAAAAGGGGGAATAGTCATGTTTACTTTGGGGAAATGACCAAAATACCCTCTCTCCTCGACCAACTTCAAGCCAATTTTTGCATTCGGATTCCCATTTTAGCCAATGTTTACGCAAGAAATTGGAAAAAACCCGCATAAGAGTCGTCGAAAAGTGGCTAAAAAGTGAATTTGGTTGATGGGATCGGCAAATTTGGTCCATTTTCCTTTCATTTCCTACTTTACTGTTCATAATCATTTCCAATAATTGGACCTCATAAAGCTTTCTGATTCTTTGCAGCTTCCAACAGAATGGAATGAACAGTTTGATTCAGGGATTCAGGTGAAATTTTTCATCAAGATTTTGCAAAGTTTCAATCTTTTTCATGTTTGAATTATACCCTTTTGATTTCTGGTTTCAATTCACTAGACTATAGCTGTGATTCAAGCTGGCCATGGCCTTCTGCAGCTTGGTTCTTGCAAGATTGTAAGTTATCATCTATTTGTTCTTCACAATATGCTCGAAAATGGCGAATCGGATCTTGAATTCTTGATCTGATCACCATTTTATTTGGATGTGTGATTAGGTACCAGAAGATCTTCATTTTGTGCTTAGAATGAGACATACTTTTGAATCACTTGGATACCAATCTGGTTTCTATCTATCCCAGTTATTTGCATCGACTTCGTCCCCATCTTCCGCCGGAGTTCCGTTAAAGCAACCACCGGCCGTCCCAATCCACCCGCCTGCAGCTTTCAACTGGGCAGCAGCGGCACCTAAGCCTATGCAATCGCCGAATTTCCAAAATCCGAACAGACTTGGGTTCGCGCCGAAAGATGAGACACACATGTTTCTTCTTCCTCATTCATCGGAGCCGCAAATGGGGAACATGATGGGTTCCGATCATCATGTCGAAAATGACATCAAATGGCCGAATGGATTGACCTTCTTTAACGCGCTCACTGGAAGAAGCGACGATGCGAAGCTTTTGTTCAATGCAGAAGGGATCGATGGCAAGGCGGATGGCGGGAACTTGAATCAAGATAAACATACTCCGGAGGCGGGTATGTACACTGATGTTATGGAGAACTTCTTGGAGTGAAATCTTGAGATCAATGATCGAAAATCGAACTTATTATATCTTCAGTTTGTTAAGAATCTTGAAAACTACTCTCGGAAATCGTTGTTGTTTAGTCGTTTTTTTTATCTTTTTACATGTTTATCTTTCGGTTCAATTTAGTGAACTTTTTGAACGAAAAAGATCGAATCGTTGAAAATTGTGATGCAAAACAAGGATATGTAAAACAGAAAATTCGACTGTCTTGACACGGCTGCACGGGGCATGCGTAATGTTATTCTGCAAAACGAATCGTAAGTGATTACCGAGTTACATTACCTTACTGCATGAATATGACAAAGACCAAAAATCATATTCGGTAAGAGCGAACACAAGGATCGAGAGTTACCCGGTAAGTGAAGACGATGACTCTTACCATGGTTAACGCTTACCGGGTAAATTGTTATATACAATGTCGTTTTAGTAGACTAAAATCTTACCCAATAAGTAAGTGATAGTATTAAATCTTTGCGTTAGTGTGTTTTTCAAATTCGTTGATTGATTGTTTGTTGTGATTCCAATCCTATTTTATTTTCCGCATTCGTTGTTGTTGACATCGCATATTTGATTATTGTTGAATAAAGTTCGTTAATTTATTTGCTTTTTACGACATTTGTGACGTTAAAAACCGGAATCTCCGAAAATTAGCACAATTAGAAGGGAAGAAAGCATTAAAAATGGAGTACATTCAAAACTCATTCTTAGAAGGCTCCATAGCATGACACTCTTTACATGTTGAAACAAGCCACCGGAAAAACTTCCGGCAACACCCTTTTCTCCGACTACATTTCTCCTTCTCCGGCGACCCATTCCGTCTCTCATCTTGACCTCTCCTTTTCTGGGAACTCCGGCGGTTCAGCACCGGAACCGCCGCCATGAACTGCCACCTTTGAGCAGGGAGATAATAGTAATTGTTACAATAGTGAACTGGACTTCGACTTTCCCTTTCAGGAAACACGCTGGTTCTCATGGCAGCTCCGATGGAAGAAGCTTCACTGGTGCTGCTTCTGGCGCTGCTGCTGGTGCTGGTGCTGCTTCGACTGTTCGTACTGTTGCTCCGAGAAGACACCAATGAATCTTTACTACTGATACTGCTGGTTCTCGAAAAGGTACAACTCGTTAAGCTTCGCGGTTGAAGAGGGAAAGTGTGGAGGAGGAATTTGCCGTTCGAAAAGAGGTGATCGGCTAATTCGGATTCGAGTTCGATATCGGGTGACATTGCCGGAAAAGTGAAATTGTCGCCGGAGGAACTGGGTTTGTGGCGGCGATGGTTGTCCATGGTGGTGGTTTTTATGGATTGAGATGAGATTTTTGATGAAATATATATATCATTGGAAAGGTGATGAAATGGTGGAAATGGGACCAATTGGGGTTGTGATTTCGTCCCCTAAAGGGAAGGCTATTTGGGGCCATATGTTTTGCCACATTCATAACCTTCAACGTGCCCAGCTCCTTAGATTTTGTGATGAAAAATTATGTGATTTTTTTAAGAATATCCAACATATACTGACTGCTTTATTCAACTGTATCAGATATTGTCTGTTTTATTTATATATGGACTTACGGTTTTAAAACGTGTATGATAGATGATGTATTGAGTACCTTAAGACAACTTTCGTTTCCTTCCCGACCGATTTGGGATATCACAGACCATCCTATCATAGAGCCAGGGACGGACCTAGAAATCTGTACAAATAGTGGCACCATTTGACTATAAGAAACAAATATATGGACATTTTTCTCAAAATCATCATTGGTTTTTTGGTTAGTTCATTTTCTTTTCATATGTGAGGTTCTGTGTTCAAGTCTTTTATTGCTAAAAATAAGATTCGAACTCGAGTCTGAGGTGGAAGAAAAACCTCGCAAACCAACTCTACCAAGGAAAATTTGTGTTCTCATTGCAGTTTTAAAATATATAAGGTGTCACTTTCACGACCCTACACTACGACGGAGAAACAAAAAGGTGGCACGAGCCACTGTATGCTCTACATTGGGTCTGTCCATGCATGGATCCCAACCTACTCGTTGATACATCAGTCTGGTTCCTGACTCTGATACCATCTGTAATATCTCTGGCTAACATTACAAGATATTATCTGCTTTATCCACACTTAGACTCACGGTTTTGAAAAAGTCTGATATATAAACAATTTTTTATAAGACAATATTTGTTCATCTTCCCTACCGTGTAAGATCTCACAGAAATGAATGTTTCACATATTTGGACAAAAAGTTGATTACCGACAATCTCAACCAGCTCCACAAGGATTTCGCCTCCAAAGACACTAACACCAATGTGAAGGGACATTTTTTGACTCACTCAGTGGTTGATGCTAGCCAGGGGGATCAAACCCAAGGCCTATCATGTATCTGGACAAAGTCGCGACACCTAACTGACAACTGAGCTACAACCTAGAGACAAACGTTTCAACATATATGAAAAATAAACGGTTCAAGTATACTCGACGTACGACCTCAACAAGTCCAAACCTAATTTGCCAAACTCGATGCAAACGACAAACGACTTCAAAACCCGAATGTTTTAACCTTCGAACATTGGTTTTTCGGTTCCGAAAAGCGCGAAAATTGAACTTTTCAAAAGGTGTTTTAAGTTGGATTATTAATTGATTAATCATGAAATGTGATTGAATGTAAATGTGGCAAAGTACCTATGAAATGAAAAGTAAAAAGAAATTTAATGAAAATAAATAAATATTAAAAAATAATAATATTAAATGATTAATTCCACAAAAAGAATTGAAGGGAAAGTCCAAAAGGATAATAATACAACTTGGATGGATGACCACATTTTAATGGGTTCTTTTGGGCTCCCACAAGACCAAGTAATGATGGGTTCAACTCAACTTTTACAACTTGTCATCAACCATGATCCCATAAGATTCTTATAACGAAAACGATTAATAATATCGAAGATGTCGATGTTATGATGTTTCGATAGACGTTTTTTGATTTCTGTATGAAGTTTATTCGACATCAGTATCAAAATGTAAGATCTGAACACAAAACTTTTAGATTATCGATAACAAGGAGTACAGTTCAGCTTTCTGTTGTTATCAAAATCACAGCTTGTAAACCACAAGGGTGGTGCCTGATTGGTTTGAGCTTAGGCTCCAAAGGTCAAAAGTGTCTGGAGGTCCCAGGTTCAAATCCAAGAAGGAATAAAAATCCATTTGTGGTCATGAAGGTTCAGAAAATGTGACTTCGGGCTACCTGCAAAGCAGGTGGTCGCCCTGGGATTAGTCGGCTCGTATGGCGGGTTAGAAATATAAATCACAACTTTTACAAACGAGAATAAACTGTTCGTTTTATAAGACAGATTCAGATATATAAATCTTTAAATATAACGAAGATGGTATAAATCATCACTCAGAAAAGATTGCTTTTGATATAATTATTAGATCAATACGATCCAAATGGGAATCTAAACCTTTTAGGTTGATGGGCAAGTGACAATTCCCAAAAAGAAAGGGACAACTCGAAAACCCTTTGTTTTCAGGTTTCTTTTTTGTAGAACATCTGGGACCCGTTATTCGAAATGTATTAGTTTTCTGAGGGTTTTATAAGAGTGTCCGAAGAATAAAAGGTTCGACAAATATACCTTTGATGATTTCCTATTGTTGTCTATTAGGGTCAAAGACAAAAAACAGAGAATGTATACCAGCATTATGATAAGGACTGTCAGTGTAAATACTGTTTCAAGAAACCAAAGTACAAAGTAACCGATAGTTTAAGGACCCTTTTGTAATTTTACCTTCGTAAGTATGACATCAATTATGGATGTTTCATCGTCTTCATCATCAGCGCAAACCCAAAAAGAAGCTTCATACATCGATCTACAGAAACAAATGAACCCAAAACTCTGCAAATTCGAATAAACAAACCTAGAATATGGGATTTATAAGGTTACAAACGCTATGTTAAACCGAAGAAACAAACCCACAAGTGGAGCAGGTGAAGATGGCGGGGAAGTTGAGGAGAAAACGACATGCATCAGAACCTTTTGGTCTATAGGGTTTTGAGCAGGTGGCGAACGAGGATGAGGAGAGGCGGTGAGATGGTAATTGTTAGGGGGTGTTTGGTAAGAGGTATTAAGCAGTAACTAATGAGAATGAAAATAAAAGAAACTGCTTGGTTTTTTATAATATAATGAGTCAATTCATTCATAAGCCTAAATTTTTATTCCAGGTTAAATTGACCTGTCATTTTCATACCCATTTTCATTCATCTGCCTAAACCAAACGCCTGCTATTCTTCCCAATCTGGGAGGAATGGTTTATCACCCTCAGATAAAACAACGATTGATTGCATTATACAAAACCAAAAATCAGTAATCTTTCCATCCACATTCCCTAATTGAACCAAACGTCATCAGTAATCATCATTTCATTCTCCTACGTTTAATACCTCAACCAAACACCCCTCTTGATACGAGTATTTTGGTCGTTTCAACCACTATACGTTGTTGATATTTCAATAATGACGATACTGAAACAGTCATTTCTCCGTCAATCACTATCACTCCCTTGTACGAATGTACAAATGGGAATTTATGATCGATTAATAAGTTGGTATTAAATTATAGTAAATAATATTGAATTAAAAACTATGCCGATGTGTGATCTGGTTTGAGATCAGTAAAGTAGACATGAATAACAATTTATTCGCTGAATCTAACGTGAAACTTAAAAAATATGTTTAAACGAAAACCAAGCAGACATACAAAAATGGAATATTTCATTCACGTCGGGTTCAATTCCAGATGTGCATAACAGTTGTGACCACTAATGTTGTGTTTTCGAGTCGATTTTTATGATGGAAAGCAAGGGGCAATAAAGTCGATTTTTATAGAAAGGGAAGGAAATATAAAACTCATTTTCCTCCCAAAATTTCCGAAAAGGAAATAAATAAAGCAATTAAAAATATTTAAAAATTATACATCTAACCATCATCACAACCTTCTATAATATAAATAACGGTATATTTGTAAATTTTTCCCTTGCTCTTACAGGGTAAGATTATTGGTAATTGTCATATTCATCTGGTAAGATAATGTGACTTGATAAACACTTATCTGAATAAGTGTTTGGTAAACGACCCCTTATTTCGTTTCACTTTTGTTTTCTTCGTAAATTCAACAGTATAGTGTAAATTTAGGGAAATTAATCAAAATAGTAAGGTGGCGTTTGTTTTTTAAGAGGTGCTGAAGTATGAAGTCTGATTTCACTTATGATTCATAAGAGGTGGTCCTCAAGTTTGAAATCTGGATCAGTAAAATTGTTTATTTTTGTGTCTGAAGTCTGAAATCTTAATCGGTCAAACTAGTGCAAAAATATAAAAGATAAATAATTTTTTTGCAAATGTATAAAGACAAATAGTTTTTGCTAACAAATTTCTTCGAGCCCCTAAAATATGAATCATTTGATAAATAGCGGATTATGATTAAGAGATATCAAGGGATACGTTTACCACTTAAAATTTCAGATGACATTTAGAGCTTTTAAGCTCTTATTTTAGAAATAAAACAAATGTTCTTAATTCTCAAAACGTCCGAATGAATCAGACTTCGGAAGTATTAAGAGGTAATTTTGAAAAAACAAACAGACCCTAAATCTTTCCAATGACCATCTAATTAATAACTATATATAATTATTAAAATTTTACGATTTTGTTTTTTAATTGATATTTATATACATTGCCTTTTAATAACCTAACAAAATATACGAATAGTTGGTTGAGTATTGGATCGAAGGATTAGATGAATCAAATACGATCCAATGGATAACCAATAGTAACATCCACTGGATTTGGATCTGATCGGATGCTTAGTGTTAATCGGATTGAATCGGATGACAAAATCTAACATCCAATGAATAATCGGATCGGATCCACCTAAATCCATTATATCTCAACCGATTAACACCCCTAAGGGGTCGTTTACCAAACACTTACCCGGTAAGTGCTTACCGATAAAAATTTAACACTCTTATTTACTTACCGGGTAAGATTTTAGTCCATTAAAAAAATATTGTATGCAACAATTCATCCCGTAAGCGTTTACCGTGGTAATGTGACTTGGTAAGTACTTACCGGGTAAGTGTTTGATAAACCCCAATAATTTTGGTTATTTTTTGTAAATTAAAATTTTTAATTAAATATGTATTGTTGTGGATACGAACGAACGATGGGATGACCTGTCTTGGATACTTCCAGTGGATGCTACATCTGGACTTCTTTCTGGGTCGTGTCAACTGTAGGAAAGTCGTCGTCTCTCTTCATCTCTCCTCCGTCCGATCAAGAGCACAACAAACAATCAGCCATGGCAGGCCGAGAAATCCTCAACAAGATGAAGGTACTTCCATCGCCATTCCCCTTTTCAAACATTTTTTAACTTCACAAGTTAAGCTTCTCTATGCTCTTCCCTTACTGATTTTGTGTTGCAACTCTGTTTTGACATGTTTACCTTTGTCCTCGATGTTAAGAATTCGTTAATCTAACTATTGATGTAGTCTGTGTACGGTTTAAGCTTAATTAGGTTTTCGAGTTTTAGATTTCGATTTAATGACGTTATTACTTGATTGAATCTGAGAAGTTGGGAGTTTATATTTACAGATAAGGGCATTTTGGCGATTGTTGTGTTTATTGTTAATTAAGATCATTGTTAATCCATAACTACACACTATTCGGCTGTTTCTGTTTAAAGTGTGTTGCATATAGCACTTGAAGAGCAACAACTTCTTCATACTTGATTAATCATGGAAGCATTTTTGTTAATTAAGGTTAAAATAGCATGTGTGAGTTGTACTTAATTGCATCTGGATGAATCTTAATTGTTACTGAATGATTTGATTCGGATCTATTTATGAGCAGAATCATGATCGCATTTGATTCGATCTATTTATGAGCAAAATGACGATCGCATTTAATTCGATCTATTTATGAGCAGAATGATGATCACGTTTGATTGGATCTGTCTATAAGCAGAATGAATGATCGCATTTGATTCTGTGTTTCTAAGATTACGTACATTATTTGCACAAGCTTCTGCTTCCGCCATTAAAATTGGTGATTTCTTCAACAGGAAAAGGTTGGCTTATCATCATCTTCAGGTGAAACTGGAAAAGGGAAGAGCAAAATGTCGAAACATGTTACACATGGGTATCATTTAGTTAAGGGAAAATCATATCATGATATGGAAGATTATGTGTTTGCACAATTCAAGAATGTTGATGATAATGAACTTGGTTTGTTTGCTATATTCGACGGTCATTTGAGCCATGAAGTTCCCGATTATCTCCGTTCTCATTTGTTCGAAAACATTTTGAATGAGGCAAGTCCTTTTTCACTCTATTATCAGTATTCACAGAAACAGCCGCCCTACTCTTTGAGATATAGGTCAGGTCTGCCTACATCTCATCCTAGACCCGACTTTCGAGTCGGATCTACTGGGTTTATTTGGTTTGGTTTGTTAAACTGTTATCATGATGTATTATTCTTAACTTGTTTATCTTCCTGCAAGCAGCCTGATTTTTGGACCAAGACTGAGTCTGCAATCAGAAGAGCGTATCGCGTAACCGATAAAACGATTCTGGATAAAGCGGTTGATTTGGGTAGAGGAGGTTCAACTGCGGTTACAGCAATCCTAATAAATTGTAAAAAGCTTGTAGTTGCTAATGTTGGCGACTCGCGGGCTGTGATATGCAATAAAGGTGTGGCTAAACAATTATCGATCGACCATGAGCCTAGCACGGAACGAAAGCTTATTGAGAACAGAGGAGGTTTTGTATCCACCTTTCCAGGTACAGTGGAATCTACTATGATTTGTCAAAAAACTATGGACTTAGGTTATCTTTGTCATAGTTAGCTTTTGGCTGATAAACTAGTCATGTTTGGTAAAAAACTATATGAAAAATGTAAAATTACCTAAAAGAACATGTTGAAAAACTAATTGGAAAATATAAGGGGCATAATTTGAAAGTGGAGTAAAACCCCCTTGAACTTTAATAAGCTAACTTATGGTTAATCAAATAGAGCTTTTCAATAATCTCAGGTAAGCTAGCTTATAGCTTATTAGTCCCGATAGTATATTTATAGCAAGAGACGTAAAAGTAGATATATTTAGGTCTATAACCTTCAATGGGATTTTAATTAAATCCATGACCTTTTGACGAGTATGAACCCTAAATATACCCATAAAAGGATGTTCCAAGTGGTGTTTGTTTTACTTTATTCTGCTTGTTTTGCATCTCCATATCATATGTCACAACCATATATCACAAGCTATCAGATGGCAGGTGATGTTCCACGAGTCGATGGGCGGTTGGCGGTAGCAAGAGCATTTGGGGACAAGAGCTTGAAGGAACACCTGAGTTCCGAACCAGATGTATTCGTGGAAATGATAGATGATGCTACGGAATTTATAATCTTGGCAAGCGATGGCGTGTGGAAGGTGTCTTTCTTTCTTAAATTTCAGGAACTTCATTTATATACTAATGTTTGAATCCATCTTAATCCATACAGATAAACTTATCATACAGGATTTAACGAAAAAACAACTAATTTGTCTGTGTAGATCACAAAAGTTTTTGTTTGGAGGGTTTTTCGATAGATGGAGGGAACGTGTTCTTTAACTGGGAGGGAAATTTGGAAAAAGGTGGCTTACTGAATAAGCCACCTTCTATAAGCCACTACCAAACAATAATATATAGCTGACCGAATAAGCTGCGAGTCCCATTATGTCTTGTACGGATTAATCTGTCTGTATAGATGGGGAATGTTTGTCTTGGAGTGTTTTTTCATAGATGGAAGGAGCGCATTTCATAATTGGGTGGGAAATGTTTTGAAAAAAAACCTGGCTTTCTGCATAAAGCTCTCCCCTACAAACTTACTGAATGAACCACTTTCTATACCATTAAGCCACTACCAAACAATTATTAGAAATCTGAATCTTTGTAGTTAGGTCAAGAAAGAACCTCCATATTTCGATCTAATACAACAATGCATGCAAAACTTTTAGTGATTCTGATTATTAAATTCTTTGTTCTTTCGTTTATCGAATAAAATTTCCTATTCTTGTTACTGGACGACTAACCAATTCCTTATGGCTGATCATGAAGACACTACCAAACAGTAACGTATGGCTGATCAAATAAGTTGGGAGTCCCATTAAGCTGCTAACAAGCATGCCCTTAATCTTGTTGGCAATGGCAGGTTTTATCAAATCAGGAGGCTGTAGATTGCATAAAGAATGTGAAGGATGCAAGGTTAGCTGCAAAGCAATTGACTGAAGAGGCATTAGCAAGGAAGAGCACTGATGACATTTCCTGCATTGTTGTAAGGTTCCAATAATCCCTATATCTTAATTATTCAGCCATTCGAAATATAACATATAAGGCTGGCTGTTTCTATGTTGTTTGTATCATATTTATATTTAAAAAAGATTGCATTTTTAACCACAATGAAATGTGGGGAGAGTGCTTAACCTTGAACAAAAACATGCAAAATGCATCTTTTATTGCTTTTTTATATTATTTTTACACCTGTAATGTGAAAAAAAGAACTAAAGTTAAAAACTTTGATGGGTGATTTTGAGATTTGATACCAATCTATGGTTTTTATAGTGTTCAGTGGGCCCACCATTTTTAGTGGTTGGATTGGAGATCGTCTTAGGGACCGTTATCAAATGCTTACATGCAAAAAAATATTTACCCTCACTTATCGTGTAAAATTCTTGGTTCTCGGCCATCAAATCAGATTGTTGGCAGGCGTTTTGAACCGGGTAAGTGCTTATTGGGTAAAAGTTTTTTCTCTCACTAACCGGGTGCGACTCTGGGTCCGTAAGATTCTTGGACCTTGTCATACTCAATCGGTAAGATAAATGATATCAATAAGTGCTTACCCTAATAAGCGTTTATTAAACGACTCCTTAGCCATTTCCCCATTTTGATATAATTTTCTTTCGTATATTCTTCAAGGGTTCATAGGCGATTTCATGTATGTCGTTTTAGAAACATTGTCGAATGAAATACTAAATACTTTGTGCCAGATTATAAAAATTCAATAACTTCTTTTAGCAATCCATATAATTCTCGAGTAACGCTCCTAACACTTCAAACACGTTGGTCTTTTTGATGGTGTGTTATGCAAAGATCTGATTCTGGTAAATTACGTGGAGCGCCTCATACATCACAAGTTAAACGACTAACCACATTTAAAAAATAATGTTTGTATCTGACGTTGTGTTATGGGTTGGGTTTCGGTGAGAATAAAAGTTATGGTGAGAATGTGAGAATAAAACTTTATATTTTTATCGTTATAACTTAACTTTTAATAAATTTATGCATGTGAAAGTGATTAATATGTGTAAAACTTCGTGAAAATGACCTAAAAGTGAAGATAAAGGTTGATGAATGTAGTTAAAGGTAATGAAAGCAGTTGAAAAACAATTGAAGTTAAATTAAAATGTCAACCCATCCAGAGGCTCAGAGTCAGAAGTATTATCATCATTCTGATCATAACTCTTATTCTCACATGATCTTTTGTCTTTCCACAAAGTGGTCGAATGATGACCCTATATTCGATTGCCGTGTAATGTAAGACCTCTCCATTTGTACTTTTTTTGAACGACTCGTCAAGTTGTATAGAGAGGGGGCATATGAACCTATATTCGATTGCCGTGTAATGTAAGACCTCTCCATTTGTACTTTTTTTGAACGACTCGTCAAGTTGTATAGAGAGGGGGCATATGAAGGCTCAACAGAGTTGTGTACCCGTTCAATCGATTTTTATAAGTATCTTTTTTTTATATGAAAGGTACACGCTCTAAACTTTGAGGGTTGCTTTAGGGTATTAGACGATACAAGGGATATCACACAAAAAAGAAAATGAAAAAGTCCCTCGAAATCAACCACAAACCTGAAAGACGCTCTCAACTAAAAAACCAAGACATTTCCTTGAAATCAACTAAAAATATCACTTAAAACGGTGGAATTTAACTAAGAAGATATCAAACAACTTTACAAGTTTTTTATCCACTTGAAAAAATGCATCTGTTCGACAAAAATCATAGGTCTATGTCGATTGTAATGTTACCAAACCCGTGCTCGTTTACCAATGGTCAATGATTACTTCAAAGTCATGATCGAAAATTTAGAGCATCTAACCCACTTTTTATACTTTTGTTTGTCATATCACATCTACCTCATCAAATTAAGAACCTATTTAAAACTTCACAATTGGTAGTTCTTATAAGAACCCATTTTGTGAAGATGCTATTGTGACTAAGAAAACATATAAATGTATATATAGAACCAGTAAATTGTCACTTCAGATCAACTTTAAGGTAAGAATTAAGGTTATTATACAAAAACTTAAATAAAGTGAGGTTCTTATAAAAACTCTATATAAATTATACTTTTTGCTTATAAGAAGGTTTAATGCCACCCAAAATTTGTTAAAAAACATAAAACGACTTGTATACACATCTTAAGAATAACACAATGATGAAAGGTAAATTGTATAAAAAAGCAACGTACTTTAACTTGATTCCTATTTTGGGTAACATACTTTTAAAACTTCAATTTTGATACCTAAGATGTAAAGTTTTAAACATTTAAGTACTCAGGAAACCGGTTGAAGCATTCACCGGTTACTATGCTGATGTGACGAGTGATGTTGTATCCAACTCAGTATTATTTGCTGAAGCATTAACTGGATATTACATCAACATGATAATCGGTTATGCTTCAACCGATTATCCGAATACTTGTTTTAAACTTTTCATCTAAATACCAAAATAAAAGTTTTGGAATTACGTTATTTTTTTCATTATTTTTCCCCATGATAAATAACAAAAAGATAATACCTTATGTTTAGCTTTGCAAGACAACTGGATAAATGAGACTATTAAACCAGTTTCCATGGGCGGCGATAGCGGTTGAATGACTGATTACATGGCAGAATCCAAGGTGATCGGAGTGGTCGGCGCCGGCCAGATGGGCGCCGGGATAGCTCAACTCGCGGCGGTTTCCGGTGCCGATGTATGGCTCCTCGACAAAGACGCCGGAGCTCTCCTCACAGCCAAGAGTTCGATCTCTGACTCCGTCCAACGTTTCGTCTCCAAAGGTCAACTCTCTAAGGTATTATTAAGTATATGACCCTAAACCCCCCGATTTGTGGTTTAAATCTTCTAAAATCTGTGATTAAATTGATCATAATTATAATTAGGGTTCTTCATAATAAGTATTTACATATGATAGCAATCCAGAATCAGATGGATTACAGTTTCAAAATTGGAAATTATTGGGACTTCTTATGAAACTGATCTGAATTTGGAACTTGTTTGGAAAAAAAAAAAAAAAAAGTCATTCTACAACCTGAATAATTTTGTATCATATGTCTCCCTTAACCATTCAATGCTCTAATTTCATTGTAAATAATTATCAAATAATTATATTTCATTTTGAACTATATCTGGATAGCCTCTTAATCATTTTGACCACTTGGGTTGTTTGTTTACCTTTTAATAGTTCCATTAAGAGGCAACCTCTGAACATTAAAAGGTGAATCTTGTTTGGCAAAAAAAAGGTCTGCTTCTTAATGGTTCTAAAACCCTCTGAATGTTTTTGTATCATGGATCTCCCTTAACCATTAAAAGCATCTCATAGATTCACAGATGATTAATAAAGGGAAATTGTCCAAAATGCCCAATTTGATCACCCGGAAAATATTTGTTTTAATCATAATGTTTCTTTCCAATGTACACATACTGCTAAATTAAATATGATTTTGGTTTAGAAAAGCCTTTGGATTGAAGTAATTTTGCATAACAAATCTTCTTTATTACTGAAATTCAAAGTTGACATTACTCGATGCCAGTTTATAGATAGTTTTGTTTTGTTCCGTTTGTTTTTTTTCTTTGCTTTATATGAGCGTCGATTTTGGTCAAATTAGTTCTAAAAATCAAAATAATTGATGATTTATCGTAGCTAGGCTATAGTCTAGAACGAGTCCGTGTTAGTCCTTCGCCTCCCAGAGATCGACCTGGATGCTACACAATCAGTACGCTTTGCGGTTTATAAGTTCAAAACTCATCACTTCAAGTTTTTGGCCAAGTTGCACTTATGCAACTTGCATAACCCTACTTTTTCAACATAATATTCAGAAACAATAGACATTACGCAAGTTGCATAAGTGCTACAAGAAATAAGGCCTACTTACGTAATGTCAGGGCCTTCCTGCAAGAGGGCAGGCCCGGCACAAACCCAAGGCCTACAAGAAATAAAGGCCGAATTTTTTTAGTGTATACTGGTTGTTCACAAAAGTTAGTAAATAAAAGAGAATTTAATATTATATTAAACGACCATACATATGTTAATTAATTACACCGGGAGAAGAAATTATGTAAAAAGTTAATTGGTTGTTCGTTTTATGGTATTGTTTATTGTTTGTTTAAGTTTTTTTTTTTATATATCATCAAAGTCTAAAACTACTTGCCTAGAAAACCCTGATATATTCTCTATCATTCATCTCCCAAACCGACTCTTTTGATTATTCCATCTGCATGAATTCTATATTTGTATTTGAATATAGTAGTTTTCTTGTTATTAACTAAGAAAACTCCTACCTTTTGAAAAGAAATTACCAACCATGTGAGACAGTCTAACTTATATCTATATTCAAGATTTTGAAACTACCCTTGTTTTGTCATACAATATTGGCTCCTTATTACCTAAATATTGAGTGCATAAGTATTAGATACTCTTGTATCTTTAAAACAATAATAAGATCTCAAGATACAACTAACACAGGCTTTTGATTCAAAGATTGATGACTCCGGAAAAGTTTGTTTTAACCCTAAAAGTTTAAAACGGTGATGAAATACATTAACATGAGGTGAGAAGGAAACCTAACTTTATTGTATTAATTTATAGTGTTACTCCGAATAGTCAACATTGTGATGATAAATGATCTCAATATATATATATATATATAAGAGTACAAAATAGGATATTTTTGACCGTGGTAGATAATATTCTATTTTGACGATGCTATGTAAAAATGATATGGTAGATAATACTAGTATTTCATGAATTCAATGTTATTTATAATGATAAAACAATATATTGAAGATTTCTTCGTACATATCAAGGGCCTTTTTTATATCTCGCCCAGGAACTATAGAATGTCAGGAACTAGCATGTGTAATGTTCATGTGGACAAGCAAAAAATAGACCATTATGCAACTTAAGTAACGTCTGATTTTCCTGAATATTATATTGCAAAAGTAGATTACACAAGTTGATTAAGTGCTACTTGCGTAATCTCTAGCTATTTCAGTCAATTTGTTGAAAAGGTAGCTATAAAGTGAAGAGGGGGACATGATTGGCTATTTCGGCCAATTTCCCTATTCATGTGCCATAAACTTTAAAGGTTCTCATCCAATAACCTCCAAAATCAACTTAAAACCATGGTAGAAATTATTGGTAACCTACAACTTTGAACCAAAGGGCCTTTGGCCTAGCGGTATCGTAGCCCTTGGCCTTMTAGGAGGTCAGGGGTTCAAACCTCACCATAGGTGAGGAGGGTGTGTGAGTTTATTTGTTGCATTTGCCGTATATAAATATTATATACTTAAAAAAAAAAAACCTACAACTTTGAGCTGATAACAACCTCACAAATCTAATTTTCTATCTCTGTAGTACGGGTTGTTACCATAAACATACATATTTTGATGCTAGGGGATTTCTAGATGCTTTGATGTCAATGACCGGTAAAATTGGTCTTATCAGTTATTTCTATTTAGTTGGTATGCAATAGTTCTAAATGTTTAATTTCAGTATCATTGTTATATTGTAAATGATGTTTTTTATAAATTTGGGTAACCGTGAACCGAATTGCAGGTAACCACCTTATGTTGGTTCGGTTCAACCTACGGTTCTGTTCATATTTTTCCTACTAACCGAAGCGTGAACACCCCTGGATGTCAGTGACTGATAAAACTTTTTGCAACATTTACTTGACAGGAAGGAGGGATTAATGCACTAAGTCATCTACAATATACTTCGAATCTAGAAGATCTTCGATTTGCAGATATTGTAATTGAAGCGATTGTTGAATCTGAGGATGTGAAGAAGAAATTGTTTGTAGAACTAGACAAGATGGTTAAAGGGTCTGCCATTTTGGCATCAAATACAAGTTCTATCTCCATTACACGTTTGGCGGCCGCAACAAAAAGACCGCACCAGGTTTCTTTTAGGACCTGTTTGTTAGCAGCTTAATGGGACTTGCATCTTATTGGGTTAGCTATACATGACTGTTTAGTAGTGGCTTAATGATACAGAAAGTGGTTTATTCAGTTACTTTCTAGAGGGAGCTTTATGCAGAAAGCCAAGTTTTTTCCAGACCTGCCCCTACCAATTACAAAACATGCTCTTTTCATCTATGAAAAAGCCCTCCCAAACAAAAACCGTCCCGATCTCTATCGACAAATTAATCCACATAGACACCTTTATCCATACAGAACTTAGGGTCTGTTTGTTAGATGCTTAATTGGACTTGCATCTTATTGGGTTAGCTATACATGATTGTTTGTAGTGACTTAATGATATAGAAAATGACTTATTCAGTAAGCTTCTAGGGAGAGCTTTATGCAGAAAGCCAGGTTTTTCTCCGAACCTGCCTCCTCCCGATTAAAAAACATGTTCCTTCCATCTATGAAAAGACTCTCAAATAACAACCTTCCCAATCTCTATTGACAGATTAATCCACGCATACATCTTTATCCATACCGGATTTAATGAAAAACCAGTCAAACAGCCCCTTGGTATATGATGATTTTTTACATTGATCTCTATGGTTATGCTACACGAATATCGATCACTTAAACGATTTTGTTTACTTTTCAGGTGATCGGCATGCATTTCATGAACCCCCCTCCTATCATGAAACTGGTTGAGGTCATCCGAGGTGCAGAAACATCGGATGAGACATTCGACGCAACAAAAACTTTGGCAGAGAGGTGCTTACTGTTTCAGCTGTGTTCTCAAATTGAGTAAAATAGCATTTTAGACCCTCTAATTCACTTTATAGCCCACCTTTTGAACTCATTTGACGGATTTAGCCGGAAATTACGCAAGTGACACTATGCAACTTGCATAATCCAGTTTGGATAAATAATGAGAAAATGGCTTGCATAATGCCCATTTTTCCCTCATTATTTTAATATGAAAAGTGGATTACGCAAGTTGCGTAATGCCACTTGTGTAATTTCAAGATAAATCCGTCAATGGGTTCAAAAGGTGGCTATAAAGTTAGTCAATCGCCCAGCATAATATTTGTTTTTCTTACTTCTCCTTACGAGGGTATTTTTGTCATAAAAGATCACCGACTTCTTTCAGATTTTTTTCCCTCCCTCATAAATGATATTCTCTCCTATTTATTTCCTTTCCCTTTTTAAAAGGTTTAGAAAATACACGCGTCAAACATATATTCTAAAATATCCTTTTCACTTCGTTTTAATCCGAGGTGTGAGATCTCACATCAGTTGTGTAGGGGAACGGATGTTACCTTATAAGAGACCAGATACCTCATTTATCATACGCGTTTCAAAACCGCAAGTCTAAAAATGAACAACGCGGACAATATCTAGCACGCTAGGGATGACACACCATGAGGTTTATAGTGTTTGCTAATTACAGGTTTGGTAAGATTGTCGTTTGCTCAAAGGATTATGCCGGGTTCATCGTTAACCGCATCTTGATGCCAATGATTAATGAAGCCTTTCATGCATTGTATACCGGGGTCGCAACAAAGGAAGACATTGATGCAGGAATGAAGCTAGGAACTAATCAGCCAATGGGTCCTCTACAACTCGCAGATTTTATAGGGCTGGATGTATGTTTGTCGATACTAAAGGTTCTGCAAAATGGGCTAGGGGATATTAAATACGCACCATGCCCTCTCCTGGTGCAATACGTTGATGCCGGTCGACTCGGTAGAAAACGAGGTATTGGTGTTTACAACTATCGTAAATTACCCAAAGAACTGAAACCGTCACCCCGACTTTGAACTTTTTTATCGGAAAACCTCTGTTCTATAAGACTATTAGTAGCAATAAAGTTCCTAAATCCAGCATTGTGTCTGATACATTGCTTTGTATGGCTGGTTACTAAAAGCCAAAAATACTACATTCCACATTAAATGGATTTACTTGTAGCGACTATCTACTGTCTTTTAGGGTGTGTGTGGTACATGGGACATGACGGAATAAAAACTTGTCCCAAGTTTGGTGTGACATTTAGGGTTTGTTTGTTAACGCTTAATGAGACTTGCAGCTTATTTAGTGGCTTAATGATATAGAAAATGGCTTATTCAATAAGCTTCTGGTGGAGAAATTATTGCAGAAAGCAAAGTTTTTTCCCTAACCTGCCCCTATCAATTAAAAAACACTCCTTCATCCATGAAAAAACCCTACTAAAAAATTATTTCTAATCTATATAGAGAGATTAATCAACACAGATAACTTTATATATACAGGACTTAACGGAAAACCAACCACACAACCCGTTAGATTGCGATAGGACAAAGTAGGACAAAAATGCATTTTTTTCTTGTGACAAGATCGGTAAATTACTGAACTACCTATGACAAGATTGGTAAATTAATAAACTAGTCATGTCAAATTACAACTACTAGATGGGACAAGATTGGTAAATTACTAAATTGTCCATGTCAATATTAATAAATTACTAAACTGTCCATGACAAGATTGGTAAGTTACTAAATTATCCATGTCAAATTAAACTACTCTTGACAAGATTAGTAAATTACTAAATTACCAGTGAAAAAATTGGTAAATTAATAAACTACCCATATCAAAATAAAACCCAAAAACCTTGCATAATTCTTTCTGGCGGCGGGTACAGGGATTTACTTTTCAGCCCCGGTCAACAGCCAAGTTATAAAGATCCTTGATTTTCCTAAATCATCTTGGTATATGAAGATCCTTGATTTTCTTAAACCTTAGTGAAATCGATAAAAATGTTGGTGAGGGGAGAGGGGATTTGGAGGATGTGAGGGATTAGTGTTGAAGATAATGAAGACGGTGATCAAGTCCTGTTTTGGCAATTTGAAATTTCATAGCAGCTTATCAAATACATGGGGAAATGACTTCTCCCTTAACAGGTTCCTTTTTTCTGGTTAAAGGGGTTCTTTTCTAACATGAAGTTCATTTAGCAGCAGCTAGTACAAGGCCCTTCATAGCATTGAAGACCGACCTCGAAGGCTCGAAGAACGACCAACGACCGGTGGCTGTGGGCTGTGGGCTGTGGCTCACTGCTCACTGCTGCAACTCGATGAAGAAGACGACTAGGGTTGTGGTTGTGGGTCGATTACTCCTCGATTGAGTCGTGGGTTGTGACGAGGACGAGCCGGCCGACGAGGGTTGTGGGTCTTGTGTGGATGTGACGCTAGTCGACGGCAACAACAGTCTCAACAACAGTCGACGGCGATGAGGGTCGAGGGTTATGAGCCAACTTTCGGTTCGGTGCTGTGTGTGTGTGATCGTGAATTCGTGATTGTGTTTGTGTGAATGAGAAGAGAAGAGAAAGAATGACCTCGTAGGTACTGCCTGTATGAAACAAAAGCCCAAGCCCCATAGCGAAAGCCCAAATATGAAATAAGTCAATATTGAATATACCAGGTACGGGGAGGGTCGGAGAATACAATACCCGGCCCCGGCCCCAACCCCGGTTTGCCTCTACCGGGGATCCCAAGCCCCGGTACCCGTTTTAGCGGGGAATCCCAGTCCCCATTCGGGTCGGGTGAACTGGGTTCCCCACCGGATTGGGTCAAATCACCATCCCTACTGAAGAATGACCCCACAAGGTAGTGAGGAACAGCCTGTGCATTTAAAGGGTAATGTTTCCTATGGGTGCTAGTCCCCACTGAAAATGACTGATCTGGAATCCTATAATTGAGTTACATATATTTGTAATAATAAAAAGGCATTTGCATTTGTACAATAAGGTAAAAAGCTAAGGCTAAAAGAAAACCCTCATCCGAAATTTTCGAGGATTGGGTAGAGAGAGAGAGATGAAGTTCTTGTTTCAGTGTCCTTGTTGTTCTTGTTTTTGCTTTATGAAGCCGAAAAAGGGGAAACCGAAGGAGAAAGAAGTTAAAGAATCTAAACCGAAAGAGAAAGAAGCTAAAGATTCTAAACCAAAGGAGAAAGAAGCTAAAGAAAGCAAGGATGAGAAGAAGACAGAGTGAATAGTGAAAAGCAGACCTGCATTTTGTTGGAATCTGATTCATATTGCTAAAAGCAAAAATGTCTTATGTAGTTGGTTCCTTTTTCACATATGTAAAATAAGTGTCTCAATCATCATGTTCCTACTTCCTAGATGTTGATGTATTATATCCATTTTCACTTAGCAGGTTCCTCCTATATGTACTACTAGTTCCTCTGTAATTCATATGATTATTGGCATAGGATCCACTTTCATTTAACAGGATCCTATATGATGGTTAAAGATCCACCTTGTGTTCTAGATTAGATCCTGCATTTAATATTCCTCTTGTGTATCCATGATCTATCTGGGGTTCTAGATTATGTTCTGAATTCAAGATTCCTCATTGGTTCTAGATTATGTTCTGGATTCAAGATTCATCTTGGGTTCCAGATTATGTTATGAATTCAAGATTCCTCTTGGATTCTAGATTATGTTCAGAATTCAAGATTCTTTCAGGGTTTTAGATGATGTTTTGAATTCAAGATTCATCTTAGGTTCCAGATTATGTTCTGAATCCAAGATTCATCTTGTGTTCTAAATTATGTCTCAAGATCCATCTTGTTGTTTCCAGATAATGTTCTACATTCATGACCCACGATTTATACCCTATTCCCATATACAAGGGTTGTACATGATCTTTATTCATGGGAATCAATGATTCTTGATCTAAATTTGTATCAGTGTAGATGTGATGGTGTCTTTTAGATTTTGATACCAGTATACTTTGCTACTAATTTGGAATGGCTTTCTTGATGCTTTCCGGTGTCTCACATAAGTGTATTGAACATCGGTAATGGTCAGATCCTGTGTATTGAACATCGGTAATGGTCAAATCCTCCAAGTTTCATGAACGGTAATAAAGGTTCTTGTTCAATCACAAATTTTTCTTGTATTTTTTGTAATTTATTTTACAAGTTTAATGTATTTTGTTTAAATGAATCTAGAAAATATATTAATATAATATACAAATTAAAATAGATATAAAAAAAAGGTAAATCAATMATTACAAAATATATTTAATAATTTAGTTTCTCTGTTTTCTACAAGTTGGTTTTTGGTTTAATAAGTTTTTTACCAATGGTTTATTAAGTAAATAATTTATATAATTACTATAAATAAATAAAATATTTATATTGTTTTATTACTCAAAATGCATCAAATTAAGAAATTGTAAAGAATTTTGTTGGGGAAATTTTATTAGTTTCTTATTTTATTGAGATAATGTTCACGTGAAGCAAAACAGAAAAACAAAAGTCTGGAGAGGGTTCCTCGTCTTTTAGCTTCTTTGACTCTTTGACTCTATCGATCACATATATAATCTTGTATCAACATCAGTGAATTTTTTTTTATTAACCTGGATATTTAAATCTCCGTGGTCATAAGGGGATTTTTATTTCTCATTAAATTTAAACTTGGGACCTTCAAGCACTTTTGACCTATGAAGCTCAAGCTCAAACCAATTAGACACCACCTTTGTGATTGACATTTTTTATAGATAGCTAGAAGTATATATTTATGTAATGCATCTTTATTTTGTCATTCTTATTTTTTTCCTGAATTAGTGTGGTTCTAAGAACATGGGTGTGTTTTTTTGGTAGTTATATGTATAATACATCTTTATTAAAATTTTGTATGTATGTACAAATAAGTTATAAATGTTTTTTTTATTAACCTGAATATCCAACCCGCTATGCGAGCCGACTAATCTCAAGACGACCACCTACTTTGCAGATAGCCCGGAGTCACCGCATTTGAACCTCCGTGGTCACAAAAGAATTTTTATTCCTCCTTGGATTTGAACCTGGGACCTTCAAGTACTTTTGATCTTTGGAGCCAAGCTCAAACCAATCAGGCACTAGCCTTGTGGTTATAAGTTATACACGTTGTATAATATAATAAAAATATTATATAAATGTACTAGAATGTGAATATATTCAACTTAGTTAAAATATATATTAATATAGGTATTAAATTAAAAATAATAAAATATCTGTTATTTTTAACTAAAAATTAATTGTATATGAGATAATTTAGACTTTTTTTTTATCTTGAAATAAATATGTAAGTTTCCCAAACTTGATACATGCATGGGGAAAAAGTAATGTGAGTTGTCAATAACTCTTCAAGTTTCTAACAAAAAATAGTAAAATAGTTGAAAGATTTTGTATGTATTTTATATTGTACTTCAACACTTGTAATCTTGTAAAATTAAGAATTTTTAAAAGATAAAACCTAAATGTTATATAATACTAGAAGGGTATTTGTGCATTTATTTGCAGTTAGTTACACGAATTCAAATATGAAGTTTTAATAAGTTGTATTTACGCACAATCTACTTGTAATCTTAAGTTTTATGTAACATGCATTAATAAACAGTACTTAATGCATAAAAAGTGGTTTTTAATAGTTTTTGTCAAATGCTTTATAGTATAGTATAGATAGTATAGATAAAACATTAAATGCTTTAAAATATAGTATAAATAAAGCGTTAAATGTCTTATAGTGACTTTGTCTAAAAGTTAATCCCTGGTCCCAAAAAATCAAATGAAAATAGCAAATATGTTAAAAACCTGTCAACTGGTTTTTATTTTAATATATAAAACCAACACATGAGATACATGTCGTGTTCGTTCATACAGCAATGTTTCATATGAAACATTCAAAACTGTTATACATGTGAAAATATATTTCACATATGAAACATATACATATACATATACACACAATAATAGAAATATATAAAAAAATATAAATCATACCTTAGAATTAAAATTATTGCTTTTGATTTTTACTCACAAACCTAAGGGAAAAGTTGCAACTTTACATGGAAAGGAATACTATAAAGCCAAAAAGCATCATGAGGAGATCCATTAACAACCCTAACTATCATTGCAAATCATTTTTCAATGATGTTCACCTCCTTACCCGTTAAACTAAACCCACATAAACAATTACACAAATAATATAAACGTGGAAATCAAATTTGCAATTTACAAGTGGCATGT